AGAGTACACACACGCACTGAGAATTTAGTTCAATTACCTGGTTGTCAATGACTCTGACTGTCAGGTATTCTTGCTTATACAATGTATCTAACATGGCTTGCAGATACCCTTCAATGTAAAGCTGCATCACAACCGAAAGAGTCACTTATATGATGATTTAATCTGTCTGCTAGAACAACTAGAACCTATCACAAACACACACTAGATATGAAATGACACTAACTCCAGTGCATTGAAATATTCAGCACTAGGAATTTTTTATAAGCCCCCAAAACAACAGGAAAGACGGCACCATCTAAACTGTCATACTGGAAACAAGAGCAATAACATTGGATAATGTAACAAAACTTGCGATAGATATTCATTCAGTTAGCTTGGCAACAGATTATCAGAATTTAAATGTTTCCTCAATAGCTATTTTTTAAATTTCCAAGCTCTTCAGAGGCCATCTAACCAGATTATTTCATCCAAAAAGAAGACTTAGGACTCCTGTAGGCCATACTACAATTTTTAGGCCCATAGAAATAACGACTCCTATTCTCTGCATAATTTGATGAAATGACTAGAAATTCCATAATTTGCTAGGAAATTTAACTTAACAGTTGCACCTGAAGTTCAAGTCATGGAGTAGTATATAGCTGACAATTTTTACTCCAACAACAGTTTGGTTCACCAATATACATGTGTTATGCAGTTTAGAGTGTTGTTATTCAATGTCGTGCAGACTTTTTCCATAATAAAATTCATCCATTCCCCTTTTACAAGATAGATGAGTCATGAAGATCCAGGGGAAGTGGCCATCTAGACATGAGCGTCCAAAACCATGCAAGTTATGTCAATCAACACGACCACCTCCACTGAGCCTTGACCAAACATGTCTGAATGTTTCTCTGACAGCACATAAAATGGAGCATTGATTTATCCCACTCAAACAACATAAGTTTGCAACCATCAGCAGCTGTTATCTCTACAGGAAAATGTTGAGATGAAATAAGAAATCATCACCACAAATGTATCATACCTCATCAACCCCAGGACTTCGATCGAGCCTAATTTTTCGATCAGGGCCACCTTCCATGAAAGCACTCCCCAATAGCCGTAGGTTCC